ATTGCAATTGACATATTTTAGTCCAGAGAAACTGAACCATGTATTAAGTTTGAGTATTTGACCTTGTGAACGCCTATTTTGTTCTTAGATATTTGTCTAATGAAATATGAATATTTTGAATCCAGCACATGATGCTGCGTACTGCAACACTACAATATTTGCGTCACCTTAAATGCAATCCAGCATATGGTGATTTTACTCTATCTTCCACATTACAGGATATTAAGCCTGCATAATTGTGTTCATATGACATTTGCAATTAATTGGTAACTTGGATTGACATATAGCTTAATTTCTCCTACGCTTTTCATTGGCAGGGTTTGTCTGCCGGTTTGCTAAGGCAAGCGACGTACACGACTGCTCGTCTTGGATCCTTCAGGTTTGTGTAGTGTGTTGTTTTACGATCAGTCGACCAGTCATTACCTTTTGATTTGCTTGCACAAAAAACTCTGAATCAGTTTGTTATAGCATATGATTTCCATTTGAATGGGTGCCTGTTGTAGTGTTGAGATTGCACCTACATATTGGTCGCATCTAGTGGTTAGCCCTTATCAGATATATGGTTGCAAATACAACTTTGTTTGATGAGCTGTGCTGTCTTCAAAATGACTTTACCCTTGGAGTGCCATGACCCATGAGGTTGACGGTTGTTTGTTTATCTGTACCTTTTTTTGTACAAAGTTTTTCATAAAGGAATGATGTTACTTAAAAGTTTTGTTTGATGTGAATATAAAATTCTGTTCCACAAAGGGGCTTATATTTTTGTTTTATTTTTGGTGTTAGGTGAACTATATGATCTTGGAGTTACTTTACTACTATATAGCGTGAACAAATGTTGCAATGTCCAATTAACTTCTTTTATCAAAGTCATGCATGCAGATCTAAAATCAGTAATGAATATTGGAGTTATTTTATCTTGGTTTCCAACTATAATTAGTATTTAATCTTAAACGAATATCTCGGATACATTTTTCAGGGTTCTAACTAACAAAGCAGTTGAAAAGAATGAAGGGAAGCCGTTGCCTCTAATTCAGAAAGCTTTTATTGGTCTGACTGCTGGAGCAATTGGTGCTTGTGTTGGTAGTCCTGCTGATTTGGCTCTCATTAGAATGCAAGCCGATTCGACCCTGCCAGTCGCACAACGACGCAACTATAAGAATGCTTTCCATGCACTCTACCGTATCACTGCTGATGAGGGAGTCCTTGCGCTTTGGAAGGGTGCAGGTCCAACTGTGGTGAGAGCTATGGCACTCAATATGGGTATGCTTGCTTCCTATGACCAGAGTGTCGAGCTATTTAGGGACAAACTTGGTGCAGGAGAAATTTCTACTGTTGTTGGTAAGATTCTAGTGCCTAGAAACCTTGTGCATCTTGTGCTATGTTATTGAAATCGAATGCCCATTTTCTTAGCTTATGCAACTGACATTGTGCTTAATTTCGTCCATTCCTATATGTAGCCATGTTAGGCCTGCTTTCAGTTTCCTGATGCAATCGCCCAATTTGATTACAGGAGCCAGTGCTATTTCTGGATTCTTCGCCTCAGCATGCAGTTTGCCCTTTGACTATGTGAAGACACAGATTCAGAAGATGCAACCTGATGCGAATGGCAAGTACCCGTACACAGGGTCTTTGGACTGTGCCGTGAAGACCTTCAAGAGCGGTGGTCCATTCAAGTTCTACACTGGTTTCCCGGTGTACTGTGTCAGGATTGCACCCCATGTCATGGTAAATAGAGAATACCTGGCTATACTCTTCTGGATAGTCCCCCTTTTACCTTATTTTTCAATCCGTTAACTCTATAGCATATTCATCCAATGATAATTTGAATGCAGATGACCTGGATATTCTTGAATCAGATCCAGAAGCTTGAGAAGAAGATCGGCATATAGGATTGCCAACAGACCGATGCAGGGTTGACCGCTCTATGCTATTATCGCTTGACTCGTATAATAACGTTCCAGCTGCTTTCCCACCATGGTAGTTGGTTTTGGTAGAGACAAGTCTGGTACAATTTTTACCTTAGCTTACTTGCCAATTATTATGTTGCAATAATCGAATTATTTGTTGTTGGGGGAAATTTTTTGGGGTGGGAATGCTATTGTTGGCTGGGATGCAGCCATAAGGAGAGGGGGATACTACCTAGTTATGCCATTGAATGGAATTGGACCATATTTTATACAGATTTTTACCGTCAGGCTTCAATCCTTTTGAACTCATTGCACTTGGGACAATATTTTTTTGTAATGAAAATGATGGGAATGAATCATCTGGGAGATTATGTTCTCGTTCTGCTCGCTCGAGATCTTACCTGAAAAGGGAATGGCGTGACAACAAGCAAATTCGTGCAGATGACGGGATTGTTTGCTGTGACTTGATTTTTTTTTTCCTGATATGATAATGCCTGCATGATTTTTTTTCATGATACAAATTCGTGACAGCATGCAAATTTATGGAGATAAATCTTGCGCTGTGTTGTGTCGGTATGTAGGGTCTATGAATCTTTTTTTTTCTTTCTTTTTTCTCAAAAAAAAACAGAGGATTCCAAAACATAGGTATGACTGACTATCCAAGCCATTTGGATTGTAGGAAACAAATTGCATGATCAAATATGCACCAAGCGATAAAAACAAGTTTTTTGTTTTTGTTTACAAACAAAATGCTCTTTTCAGTTCGTTTATTTAATTTTCAGGTGGGATTTGTGTAGTTATTAGATGGTCATTTAGCGTATTATTATACTGATTCGCAATTGTCTCATACTCAAATAAAAGTTTTGGACCCACCACATAGTTCTTTCTCCTACCTACAGCGGCACGTGGTTTTCTTTTCATGTGGCTTTCTTTTACCTTGTTCCCACCTCTCTCCGGTCTCCACCCTAGGAGCAGCTTCATTGTTGAGCCTCTCCCCACCTCCCTCTCTCTCTCTCTCTCTCTCTCTCTCTCTCTCTCTCTCTCTATATATATATATATATATATATATATATATATATATATATATATATATATATATATATATATATATATATATATATATATATATATATATATATATATATATATATTACAGAATTCATATATTTTATTATGCTTTTTGAACTTATTAGCCGGCTTATTAGCTAGAATGTACAGTATTTTTTTCTCATAACAAATCAGCTTCAGCCGGTTTTTTTATACCATCCGAACATGCGCAAGGGGCTGCGGTGTTCGAGGGAAGTGAGAACAGGCTAGCGTGGCACTATGATAGCGATGGGGAAGAATAAGGTTGACGACTTGATACAGTTGGGCGAACTCGTTAGCAGTATCAATTGAGGCACTTCTAGAGGCAGCCTTCCGGACTCGAGATGGATGGCCTCCACACTGCAGATCAGACGGTGGTAGATAGATGACGAAATGGCCGGCTGCATGGGAGAAGAGGAAATGGTATACAGAAATAAGGGTAACGATAGATGATAGAAATGGTAGATATTAACGTTTGAGGCTTTATAATTCTTTTTTTTTTTTAAGAATGCGTACCTAATTGATGATTGATAGTCACCAGCATGGTTGGGCAAGCTCTTGTTGGCCAAATTGGTTCGACAAGTGAAGGCGCCTCTAACAACCCATCATGTAATAATAATGTAAAAAAAAAGTGAGCTCGTGATTGGAGGGCCGAACCAGAAGAGAGGAGGGGAGAACAAGCCAGCAAGCAGAGTTGCAACCAGAAATGAAAAACGGTGAAAAAAAATTAAATTTGGGTAAAAAAAATGATTCTCCAACAAGTTGATAAAACTACTCTCTAAAATTAAGGAGTTGCGGTTTTCGACAATAAGGAGTTGCTAAATCTGCCCATTAATTTGTCAAAGTTGCAAGCTCGCCTTCATGACCATGCTCCAACGTCCAACCTGCCCTGGTTGCGCCTGGCCAGCCATGGCTGCGCCTAGTCCCTAGCCACCAATGGATGGCCTTGACCGCCGGCTGGATGGCCTTGCCTGTGGTTGGTTGGAGGCCTTGTTCGGCCAGCTGAAGACTGACGGTGGGTGGCTAAAGAACTGTCACAGCTTGGTCGTAGGGACGAGGTACGATCTAGGGGCGATAGCATGCAAACCGATGGAGATGGCGAGAAAAAAAAAATAAGTTGTGGGCTTTTTTTCTTAGGAAACTACTATATGACCCTATTGAATAGTGAAAAATGAGTTTCCTACTTATTTTGTTAACTTGATAAATTAATTAGTTTTTTTAATCACACAGTACAACACGAACGATCACAACGCATGCACTCACCCTATGAACATACGTACCCATGCAAACCCTACCCCTATAAGCATATTCGAAGACTAGTTTAGTAAGTGAATTTTACAAAGCTCTTGAGATGCTCTTAGGATGAAGTGGAAGAAATTCCAACTCAATGGAAGTTCATTCAAACGTGATCCAAAAAATTGCGAAAAAATCACCATAGATGTCGAGTTCAGTCTCATCAGAGTAGGGACTTCGGGTTAGTTGGATTAGGCCCATCTAGTTGAACTTAGCAAGTTCAACCGCCATTTCTGTTTTTGGACCTTATAAGATGGATTAGGCCCATCTACTTTACGACACATGGAATTCAAATGTGCGCCTTGTCTTCTCTGTAGTTGGAGTTTTTTCGGGCAATTTCAACTTGGTACTGGCTCTGCGATTGTCGGAGTGTTAAGATAGTTGAGATATTCTTGTAACAGGTTGTATCGTCTTATATATATTACAAGAGTAAAACAAAGAGTTGACATGTTGTTTGTTTCTTTATGAGAAAGAAGAAAGATTTTAGAGCAGATACGCCGAGAGATTATACTTGTAAGTCACACCAGGGATTTTTTTCCCCGGCCTATACGCCGAGAGGCATCGCGTTCTAACATTCTCTACAAAAAAGTGACGAACTGACCAATACCAGCCGCTTTTTATTTCTATGGACAGAAAGCTATACGACACACAAACATTTGGTCCTACACTACACACCGATGAACCGAGCGGCGGGGGTGTCAGCGCGGCTAGCTACTAGCTCGTCGCCGCGGTCGCCGTGGTCTCGAAGTAGCAGAGCCTGTTGTCGGCGAGCTTGGTCCGGTACGCGGAGGTCTTGTACTCCCTCCACGTGAACTCCCTGTACCGACGGCGGCCGCCCTCCCGGTCCACCAGCCCCGGCAGCGGCGCCAGGCGCTGGCGCGGTGGCGGCCCGCCGAAGAAGATGACCGACACCCGCGGCCGCGCGCTGCTCACCATCACCCGGTGCCGCACGCTCCGGAACCGTCCGTTGGTCAGCACCTGCAGGTTGCAGGATCATCAGAGATGAACATGGTTGTAACCGTGTGCGCGGGACATGGTTTTGTGTCCTGGAAAGGCAAGGCCTGATGAAGTGAACCAGCACCTACCCACCAGCAGCAGTACCGTACGGTTTTCCCACAAAAGAAAAAGGTTTTGCTGGAACGCCAGTTGGGCATCCACAAGATTCCCTCAAACATCACAGGTCACACACAGCCATTGGACATTGAAGGCAATGCAAAGGACAGGTGAGGGCGAGCATCGCAAGTTCGCAACCCTGCTCTGCTCCGTGCCGTACAGACTACTACAGAGGAACCAAGCTTTTTTGTGTCGGGTCGGGGAAGGGAGATTTGCAAAAATGGGAACTAGCCACTCGCTTTCATTCATCGTTGTAAAGTGTCATTAACTAAAATAATAATGTAATTAAATCAGAGTACAATACCTGCAATGCGTCGCCGACATTGACGAAGAAGGACCGGGTGTCGGAGGGCACGGAGACCCAGGTGCCGTCCCGCAGCGACATCTCCAGCCCGGCCGCGTCGTTGGAGCGGAGCACGGAGATGATCTGCGGGTCCGTGTGCTCGCCGAACCCCGTCAGCCGCCTCCTCACCTCCGCCGGCTCGCCGGCGGCCTCGGGCCGCGCCGGGTAGTGGTTCACCCTCAGCAGCGAGTCGCTGTCCCGGTCCAGCACCAGCCTGCTGAACACGCCCTCGTCGTCCAGGCCCAGACCTTGCGCCACCAGCTCCAGCACCGTGCACGTCATGCGTCGCACCGCCGCGATGTACTCGTCCAAAACATCACTGCACGTACGTACGTACGTTCACAAGACAAAGCGAGAGCATGAGTTGATGCAGAGACGATTGGACATGAGTTGGCCGAAGTCGGCAGAAAAGGCTCTCATCAACAAAAAATTCATTCATCAGTCAGGGCCAGCTCGGAGTAGGGCACCCGGCCGGTAGGGGCTGCACACGTGCACCCAGGACTCCGACGCGCAAACCACACGTGACGCAAATTCTAGCTGCTACTACACAAAAAAGGACCAAGGCTTCCATCTGGTCGGCCAGCTCAAAGTTGTATATTATTTCGACTTTACAAAAAGGCATACATAAATAATACGTACTACTAGTAAGAAAAGAAAGATCAGTGCAAACGAGGGAAAATGGATAAGAACAAGTGACTAAAAGCAAAGCAGGGGATGGTGACCATGGAGGGAGGCAGCCGGCCCAGCTGACACGTACGCCTGCGGTCGATCTGCCATGTCCATGTGATGGCCGCCGAGGTGCATGCATCGGACACCAGATAATGGATGTACTGTCAGTTCTATGTTTATGCAGACAAATTTTGCCTCCGGCCATTTCCCATTGTTTCCGAGCACATCGTTAGGTTTGGGTGATGTTTGGTTGTCCCTAATTTAGTCATTGTCTATCAAATGTGTATAAACATATATGAAGTATTAAATATAGATTAATTACGAAACTAATTGCATAGTTTACTACTAATTTACGAGACGAATCTTTTAAACCTAACTAGTTCATGATTTGACAATGTGGTGCTACCGTACATATGCTAATGACGGATTAATTAGACTTAAAAAATTCATCGACAATGTGGTGCTACAATACATATGCTAATGACGGATTAATTAGGCTTAAAAAATTCGTCTCATGAAGTACTGACGGATTATGTAATTTGTTTTTTATTAATATCAAACATCCCACGCAACATTCTCCTGACACACTTCCTAAATTTTAGTCACCGGATCAAACCTATCTTAGATAGGTCATAGATGGATTCGAGTTTTCTCACGATGGGACACTGGATTGCACGATGTAAGGTTTCTCGCTACCTACATCACTTATTTTTTGGTTTATTTTCTCCAGTGTAGAGCCATGATGAGGTGTCAAGATAAGATTGTACTTCGAGTGCTAGAATTAACCTTATTCATCATGTTTTAGTGAGATTTTCATGCAAAAGTCGGTGTAACAAACAAGGTTTAAGTTGTCATCGGTCAAAGATGTAGGGATTATACTCCTGTAAATAAATGTCTAATAGCTCTAGTAAAGACGAATCCAAATTGCTGAACCCTGAAGATGGTTAAATCAGCTAAACGTGTGCACGGCAGTGTGGGTTTTGCAACAGAAAACGAGTAAGAGAGCTGGCATTTGCAACAAAATGTCTTATGGGACGCAAACTCAAATTTCAAATAACTTACACATGCCTTTGGTGGAATTCGCCGCATGTTGTTCTATTTGTGTGTCACCTCTCCCAATCCATGTCTCTGCTTTTATCATGGCACGCTACGTGAAATCGATGGTCGGATTTATGGAGAAATGTGGCGTCCTCTGACAGTCGTTCGTGTTCACCGAATGTTGTATCTATCCACGATGTGATAAAAGTTTTATATTGCCTGTTTTGCTATTGCCGTTGCGGTATTTTCTATTGATAAAGGTCGTCATTACGTAAACAAACAGGCAATGAGCACAATAGATTTGTTACGAGAAAAAAATACTATTAGTTAACTTAAAAAAATATGACTTATAAACCAAGCGAACAAGCAAATTACACTCCTTCACAAAGGAATAGTGTCCATGTATAAGAAAACATGAGTAAATTATGCGATTATAACGGCCGCTGATCTACACCCTGTTTGTTTTAGTTTGTTTGACTTATAAACCATACTTTTTTAATCAACAAATAGTATTTTTCTCTCACACCAAATCAGTCAACGGTACTTTTAACCATAGCTTATTAGTCAACCAAGCTAAAAAAACAGGACGCTAGTAAGTCTGCACCGGCTGGACCCACAAGCAGAGACTGCACTCTATAATAATAATAATAATAATAATACTTTCCTCCGTTTGTGTTTACTGTTTGTGTTTACTTGTCAGCAATTTTTTACTATAGTAAATTTGATCATCTGTTTTTTCTTCTAAAAAATTCTTAGATACTTTAATATATATAACATTAATAAAGTATGTTCAATAAAGAATTATATATGTGAAAACTTGATGTATCTAAAAAAAAAAATCTTTTACAGAAAAAAAAAATTGCTACAGTAAAAACCCGGTAAAAGTAAACGAAAACGGAGGTAAGTAATAAAATAGCAATGCGCCATGCCAATGCAGAATTTGATTTTACTACCACCAACTTTGCCACCAAGTAACGAGTGATGAACTCACCGGAAACAGGATGAGTCCGCGCCCTCGGACAACGCCACTGGTGCGGCGGCGGCGCCCGCGGCGGTGACGCCAAGCAGGAGGTACTCGATCCAGCCGAGATCGCCGTTGCCGCCAATCCGCTTGCTGGCGTACCCGAACGGCGGGCTTCCGCCGCCTGCGCCTGCGGCGGCCTTGTCCTTGTCCCGCTGCGGGAGAGCGAAGAACGCGGCGGCCGCGGCGTCGAGGCGCGCCAGGAGCGGCGCCAGCACGCCGTGGCCCGTCACCTTGAAGAACCCGTGGTCCTCGCACGCCTTGGCCACCGCGCGCGCGGCCGCCGACCGGGCGGCGTCGGACGCCTCCACCGCGGACAGGTCGACCTCCGGCACCAAGGCCAGCGGGGGGGCGGCAAGCTGCACGGCCGGCAGCGCGATCTGCTCCAGCTCGCACTTGGTGAGGACCACCATGGTTACAGTTACAGACTGGCGATGCAGCTGCACTGCTGGGAATGTACGTACGTCGAAATAGAAACAGAGGAGGGAAGCAGAGGGATGGTTTTGGTTGAGCTCGAGAGGATTTGGCTCGGAATCTTGGATGGGTCGGGATGGAGGAGGTGGCCTCTGTTTATATAGGCATGGATAGAGAGCAGAGCGGTCAGAGGTGTATGATACTGTGTAGGATACAGTGCACTGTTCAGCCACTGTCGTACTACGAATATCTTGCATGCCTAATCTCCCTTGTGCTTCGTCGATCGAGTTTTTTTCGAGTGGTAGAATTCTGGGAATGTGCTTTTCACTGTTGGACTTTTCAGCTGTGGAGCTGTTGTCTGGACCAGTGGTGATGAGAGTGAGAGCAAGAGGTTCACAGTGGAGATCAAGTTTTAAAGTTAATCCACTGCAATCAGCTAGCAGGGTAATCGAATTGCGGAAGTTCTCTAAGGGGGTAAGGATCCATCTGGTGATGTAAGGATGCAGAGAAAAGTAGAGATATTTGCTGGCTGAGTGATGAGTAGTAGATAAAAATGAGGGTTGGAGCTTCAAATCAACTGTAGGAGCGAGCGAACGAGCCCCAAACCGAAGCAAAGCGAAAAACCCATTTGTCTAGCATTGGAGCTCAGCTCAGCGGGTCCCCCCTGGCGCAAGTCGCGCGCAAGAACCGAACGCCAAGTGGCCTCGTAACCAAAGCCAACCCATGGGCGAGGGGCGCCGGACGCGTGCGCGTGTCCCAGCCAGCCCACCACCGGGGGAATCGGCTGGCGTGGCGTGGGCAGGCAGTCAGTCAGCGGCCGGCACGCGCGCCACCCCGGTGCGAAAAGCTGGCGGCAGCGTGCGTGCGTGTGCCCGGGACAGCGAGGCTGCTCGCCCGGCCGCCCATGCCCATCCCATCCTTTCCCCGGCGTGGCTCTGGCTGGCCGCGGGGCGGAGCGGACGTATACCCCGCGTGGACGAATTGCGGCACGTTGCCACGCTAGCTGGGTGGGTGCTTGGGGGCCACCACAACGCCGGCCGACCGGCCGGCCCCGCGGCGTGCGGGTGGGCGAACGCGTCGCGCGGGGAAAGGGGCCAGGCGAGAGAGGTGGGTGGGACGTGCCGCCCGCAGTGTGCTCGCTGCGGGTCGCGGTCGGCGCGGGCGCTGCCGCGTTGGCAGTGCTTTGCTGATGGAATGGACCGCTTCCGCTCGGCCTCCAGCGCCCACCACCCAGCGGGTTCCGTCTGCAGTCTGCTGGCTTTCCCAGGGGAGGGGACACTGGTCAGCCGCCGCTACCAATGCTGATGCTGATGCGGTTTCTAGCCATGAACGGAATTGTTCCAGAATTTGACCCTCCCAAGTCTCCAACTTACGTTTTAGCCTATGAAACCAAACACAGGCCCCGTTTAGCTTACCCAGAAAACGATACTATTCAGCTTGTTTTTTCAGCTGGAATATTGTTTTTCTCTCACAAGAATTCAATCAAAATAGTGTTTTTAGCCAGTTTCAGCCACAATTCAGCAAGCCAAACGAGGCCTGCAGACATATAGAATTTATAAACGCGTCTGTTTAATAATAGCATATATGATTAATCCTAAGTGGATAGTGATCATTTTAGGCCGTTTTTTCTTCTATGGCAACGTTACCTAGGGAATTATGTGTCTTGGACTAGTCAACAAATTCTTAATATGCTTTTTCGAACATCCTCATCTCAACGCTCAACACGGCAGATTCACTGATTTTAGGCATGCTACATCATCTTGGTCAATCTCTAGTTCAAATACAGTGCAAATACCTAATTCAAATAAATAATAAACATGATTACGGGCTACAAAAACTATAGGAATACAAACGAACAAGATCCAAATAACTTCAAATAGAACACCACCGATAGAGAACTTTTAAAAATATATATATACTTGTTTCATATTGATTTCATAATCTAAGTTGAAAATCAGATTCCCTGCAAATTGGATATTGCAAAGAAAAAGACTTTGCCCTTACTTTTATACAAAAACTGAATTTTATTAAAAACCAGAACCTTTGGAAGGATTGGACATAATTTTGTGAACTTACAAAACTACTGGTGAACAGGGGGGGGGTGCTGGCTGCAAGGTAAACATACAATTACTCAGTAATTTGCAGGACACCACTCTTGCAAGGTGATCTGTTTTACTAATTCTAAGTACTTGCCTGGCTGCTTTAAATTTCTCTGTCTTCCTTTGTGTTTGATCTAAAAGCTCGCAGTAGCCATGCTAACAAGGCAAAGTTAAACAGGGATATCATTATTTTGACATGAATGACATAATATATATTAGTGTATGGCATACCATTTATGCGTCAAAAGTTAGAATCGTTATCATCATTTATATATTTTTATATATATTAGTGTATGGCTAGTAACAATTTTTAACCTTATATTACTTAGCCCCCCTATTGATCCATTTCTGGATCCGCCACTGCTGGTGAAAAGTTGTTGATAGAAATATCATACGAATGAATAAAAGTTAAATCTAAATTACACTCTAAAAAAATAATACACATGTTAACTTTTCAAAGGAAAAAAATTACTACCTTAACTATTTCAGTAGTTTCTTGGTTGGTTTTGTTGACTTAGCGATGGAGCCCACATGTTAGGGGCATCTTCTTTCTATTACATAAAAAACTCATATTTCATATCAAGTTAGATGAATAGCAGATTTGTATTAAAATTGTAAATCTCAACCTGATCTATAACTTATGTGATTTACAAATTTATAGTTGATAACTTTTTTATGTAAGATAGTTAAGATGTCAAAATATTTATATTAAGTTTCAAACTATCTTCAATGTTAACATGGTTTATATCAAGTTGTAGACCTCGATGTTATCTATGACTCTATTATAAACTATAGTTCACAACATTTTTATCTGAGGTCATTCATAGGTCCAAATATTCATTGTAAGTTCTTAGATTTTGAAATTTATATTTTCTGAAATTTTTAAGCAACCTTGAACATTGATATGGTCTATACCAAATTTGTAGATCTCAATGTGATGTATAATTTTATGATTGATAATTTTTTCTGTTTGAGATCGTTTAGAGGATCAAATCTTTGTTTTTAAGTTCTTTGATTATCAATTTGAATTTTCAAGCAACCACTGATTGAGACACGCTCTATATAATATTTGTAGTGCTTGACGAGATCTAGAACTGTCTAACTGAAAAAGTTTTCATTTGGTATCATTTAGGATCCCAATATTTAATTAAAGATGACATAGCTAAAACCCAAAGACATGCGGGGCCACATGCCACATTTATGGTGCATTAGCCAAACCACCATCGAAACCATTTTGAAATACTTAATTTCTCCGGTTTTGAAGGTTAAGAAGGATATGTTTGTCCGGTATTCAAGTTCGATGGGGCTTTTTAAACTCAACAAGTTCAAGGGAGCAAATCAGACTTTACTCGTGAATAAATAATCTTGCAACCTTTTTAATGGAAAATGCAATGGATTTGCAGCTTTAGAAGATAACATTGATCTTGCAACCTTTTACTCGTGATAATAATCTTGCAACTCTTACTCGTCTGGTCATACAAGGGAGTGCTCCATAATTGAGATATCAGTAACTCTCACGGGTGTCCATTTCAACTTTACGCAACTTGTTATTTCCTAGCATCAAAGAAGAAAAAGACTATATTTTTCCATGGAGTTCGTAAGGCAAATAAATAATATAAACCCGTCATATTTGAAATAAAAGCATTCTTCTCCAGTGTGCGTGCTCTAGAATGAAGAACCTACGGGCACTTTACATGCCAGTTGCAGCGACATTGATATGGTTGTCACTTGTCATGATCGTAAACATACATGTACACCACCATTTCTCTGCATTCATTGCCAGAATAAACTGATAATGTTAGCAGTTTCAAGTACCAACAAATCTAAAATAGAACAGGCAACAGTTACAAAGTCCAGTTCAAAAATTTGCCAGGTGAAATAGTGTCACACCCAGTTTTAAAAACAAAACTGAGTATCAACTATATGTGTGCCCAGAAAGTCAAATCATACATATAGAGACAAATTACAACAGTATCAAAAGACAATGCTTTATTACTTAACGAATAATAATATAATATTATCACTTACATAGAGACAAAGCTTGCATCATAGTAACGGGATCATACATTCTAGTCTTCGAGCCTCCAAACACCACAGGGACGGTTGACTGGCACTTCTTAGAAATCTCACTAGCTCCACCTTCTGTTACCCATCCGAGGTTTTCCAAAATTTAAATATAAAGCAAGCGGAAGTATACGTCGTACTCAACAATTACAACATGGGGTTGATGAGGCTCAAAAGGTTGACACTGGTTTAACTGCAGTTAGCTTTTAATTGAGTCATAGTTTTAAGCAATTGAGTAGCGACAAGGTTCACATAAGCCCATATAAACACATGATCAGGTAAACATGAATAATAAATAGCATAAACAATTAATTAATAGTGATCATCTATTCCATAAGGTTCCAGCCCGCTCGTAACTGTGAGCACAGTTGATATACCAGTTTTACACTCTGCAGAGGTTGTACACTTTCACCATGAGTCGTGATTTACCCTTTCGCCCGAGGTGATCAGCCTCTTGACCCACTATCAAGGAAGGTCGGCAGGGTTCACTATGAAGTCTTTCAGAAGTTCATCTAACAAGTTAGGCCTGCTAGTTTTCCAATTGGCAAGGAAATATAGAGCCCCCTTCCGAATGGCACATTCCACGCAGGCTATACACATAGAGACAGAGGCAGCACTATACTCAGCTCGGCAAGCCCCTTTTGCGCCCTTTCGGGTAACCACTAACAAGCTAAAAAAGGTCCTCATACTTGACTAAAGCCAGAGCCATATAGCACTCATTGTTGTACTGTAAGTCCCAGATTATTGCTTACAGATAAGTCCTTAAGGAGAAGAATTTAAAGCATCGCAAAAACTATGCTCTAGCCCCCTTGTTTCTTGTTGCTAAAAAGCGTCTT